TGGAGAAGCAGGTATTTGCGTAGTAGCAATTGGCAGTCAACCTCCATGAGATTTATATCACAATTTGTAAACAACGCGACGTTGCTACAGAGAAAAAATAAATATATTTACACATGTTTAGTAAATTATTTCATGGAGATATGTATTTGTGTTACGACAAATAAGATATATAAATGGCTTTTCTCCGCGATCCCGTGAGAAATCGCAGGACGTGGGGTAGGGTTGTTTTTCAGGATGTTGCTATAGAAGAATATGGTAACAAATTTGCACTGGGTTTTGAAGTCGCTGTTGTTTCAAGATTCAGGAAGTTTGTACTCTGCATTTGAAGTCTCATCTTAATGTTATTAGAAGCTTTCCTTTTTAGCCTATTTGTTTATTACATATATGTTGGGAATGTTTTTCCAACCTGTATATAATATTCCCATTTCTGTATCTGTAAACTCTGAAATTCTCTTTAGGATTTTATTTTCGTTTTTCTTTTCACTTTTGGGAGTTATGTCTGCCCGTTTGAGTTTCTCACACCTTATAAGAATATATGTTGAATTTTCATATACGTCTTGAACATGAAAGCGTCAGAATTTGTTTCATTATTGCAACTCCTAATTTTCGATGGAGCTGATGACCTCATTGCATATCAATACATGATTGGTGGGATTTACTAGCTCGTTCTGTGCATGTGCAGGATCAAATTTTGAGCCTATATGGTTAATGCTGGTCCAGATGTGTATTAAAAGTTGATCCTGGATGCTGACATTGTGCATGTGCAGTAGAGAACAGGATTAAACTTTATTACGATATTAACTTTTATGACGCGAACAGAAGACGCCCATAGTCGCATGGATAATTACTGCAATAATTAGAATCATCACACGAAATACCGTGTGGATGGTGATAGTGATTATCGACCGTAATGATAATGTTCCTCTTCCTCCCTATTAAAATCATCGTCACCATTATCATTCTTATAAGCATAAAGATAATGATAGCAATAACATTGATATTAACAATAAGAATAATGATGATAATGATAAGCATGTTGATAATGGTAATAATAAAGATAATGATAATAACAGCACTATTAGTAGTAACAAAAATGTAATAATAGTTTTAACAGTAATAACAATGATGGTGAACTTAGCCCTGTCTGTCTGTCATCTCTCTCTGCCTCGTCTGACAAGACATGGCCTTTTATGTGGTGGTTCCCTTCTTGGGCAGGTGCCAGTTTCCATCTGCTGGTGTATCAGATTCATTCAGCCGTAGCAATGGGGGATAGTTCACATGGCTTGCTGAAAGGGGTTGTGTAGGTCACCCGGTCAACTAGGATTGGGTGTGGGATGCGCTAAGCAGCTGCTTCCTCTAGTGATGTAGACTCAGGAGGACTTCAAAAGGAAGGTACAACTTTTGTTCTAGCTGGGAAAAATGTGTGGAACTATATTGTTTACATTACATTGCCATGCAAAAGAGTCACCCTCAAGCACTGAATGCACATTGGGATACAGATACTGCGAGACATCTACAGATGGTTCTTGGTAATTTGATGATTGCCAAGGTCGTTGCATGCCAGGCCAGCAACAGGGCAAAGGAGGAGAATGGTAATAAGTTTGTCAATCACCTTACCAAGTTGCATGGAAAAGGAAGGTGTAATAAGAATAATTTGTCACAAGAAGGGTAGTGTGTCTCATGAGGTGTTAATCACTTTGGATTAGTTAGGATTAGCGAATTCAGTACAGCACTACCAAATTGCAGAGAGAAAAAAGAATGAACAAAAATCCCACATCTTCGGACTACGATACATAGAGGCAGCTGGCCTGAACTTAATTCTAATCGTGCGCATCTCACACGTGACTCGGAAGTACTGTGTGTGTGTAAGAGCATCTTTGTTATATTACAAACCCCACACAAGTTGGATTTTGGTTGAAGATGACATTACTTCTTTATAAAGGCCGATTAGCTGATGAATACACTGCCAGGCGTAGAATGCATACGGAAAAACTATCTACAATCTCATTTCACACAGCACGGGCAATTATCTAATTCGTTCTCTCTCTCTCTCTCTCTGCTCCCCCCCCCTCTTTCTGTCCCTTTCTCTCTCTCACTCGCTTTCTCTGCTTCTCTCCCACTCTCTCTCTCTCTTCTCTCTCTCTCTCTCTCTCTCTCTCTCTCTCTCTCTCTCTACTTCCATACTTCTCTTTCTCTCTCGCGTGGACGAAGGTTTGAATAATTGTCGTTGTGAGTGTGCAGTCTCGGGCAGGGGGTAGCCGGGCAGGAGCCTTAGCGACCCCTGGAACGGAAACGTGTACGGTGGAGTGGTGATGACTCCCAGAGGGGGAGCGTCAGATCGAGGCAGCGACTCGAGGTAGATTAGGGTGTAGAGGTCAAGAGCGGGTTAGAGGTCACAAGGACTGGGGCGAGGATAGTCAACACACCACCATGCTTGGTCGCAGAGGGCGTGACCTCCAGGAACGTCTGACCTCTCACTCTCTTTTTCTCTCTGCTTCCC